ATATTTCTCCATGCATTTTGCCTTGCTTATGACTTCAGGGCATGATAAAAAAGGTATCATTTATAACATTCAAGAACTGCAGTCAAGCAAACAATTCAGACCACACGTTAAAAATCTTTTTTTCAATGTGTAGATGTATCTTCCATATCCATCACACTGATAACATTGCATTACACTAGCTAAAGGAAAACTACTTTTCTAGCTAGCCAATTGCCATCAAATTCACGTGGAACTTATATGGGCCTTGAAATGCATGTTGAAAGTACTCGTCAGCTGTGTCTGGAGTAACTTAAAATGTTCAAACAAAATAAAAGGCAGGAAAAAAAAACAAACAGCCTGGAAAACTTTCCTTAACTGGGAATATTTTGACTAGGTAATGTAAAGTTGCCACTTCAGTATGACAAGCAGGTTTAGATCACACTTTCCTGGCTTCTGGTGGTTTTTACCAAGGTCAGCATTTTAATGTATTAGGAAAATGTTGTTTTTATTTTCTTTTTGCTTTCTTTTCTCCAGAGAGTACTTAAGGCATGAAAGGAAGCCAGGGAGATAAATCACTCGATCATAGTGAGCCTTTCTAAGCATTAGATGCTAAGCATTGTTGTCAATGGGATAGCATTGGAGACGCTGTGCTTCTGTCACTCTTACTGATCTATTGTGGAGACACTGGGAAGGATGAAAAGGATGGCTTTAACTGCAGGCAGTAATCAGAGACCCAGGCATGTTTTGGTGGGTTCAGTGGTGGGAAAACACCAGTCATAATACAGGAAATGACATTAATCCTCACTGCATTTCTAACTGTCTGTTGCAAAATGGTATGTTTAATACTTTGCTTTGCTTCTAGGGGTTGAAGACAACGACTGCAGGTTGCTGTATCTGTGGATAATGTGTTGTCTTCACAGGCCATATGAATGGTTTCAGCTGGTGAACAAACTGAAAGAATAGAAGCCTCAGAGCAGGTACACAGCAATTATTTCCTCTACCACAGTGCAACTTCACCTCCTGGTGACAGTGTATTTCCACGGCTCACTGGCTGCTGTTAATGAGGTAGAAACAGCACTCAGAGAATAACATTGTTCCAAGAACATGACATCTTGGAGTCATCTTTGGACTCTACTTTTTGATTCTTCCTCTACTAGCTATGTCTGCCCATTTGCTTATCAGTCTCTCCAGAACATCAGATCTTTATGGTGATCCCATCTCCTACTCATGCTTTACTCATTTCCCAACATGGCTATTACTACTTTTCAATTTAGTCTTCCTAAATCCCTGCTTTGAATTTGAGGTCATTTAGAGTGCAGATGTGGATCAAAGTTAATATATTAATCCATAGCAAGTACATGGAAGAGTATAAAATACTGTGTGTATTTGAAGAACAGATTTCAAGTTTTACTGCATAAATTAGCTGCACTGTTAAGCAGTAAATTTGTGTTTGCGTACAGAAAATAGATTGCCACACTTTGTTCCAAGATTGCAAATTTAGCTTGGTATACTTTTACTGAAGCAACAGCAATACAGCTGTGGCAGCACACAGCTCAGTTCAGTCAGTGCCTGAGATGGGAAGGGTTTGCAGATGAGACTCCTACTCCTTCCTGTAATTCTGTCAACCTATAAGACAGCTCAGGTGCATTTGTATGAGTTGCAACTACAAACATAAAATCGTACAGAGTGCAGCTCCATCATGTGCCAAACACAAGGGCCCATACCTGTTCCTTCTGCTTGTGCAGCTGTTAGAAGGCATAACACTTGGTATTTTACCGAGTTGCATAATCTTGACCCAAGGTATGCTGTTTTACTGGAAAATGCTCTTCTATAATCCAGTATTCTCTTGTTAGTAAACAGATGGGGCCCCTCCTCTGAGCTGCACGTAAAACTACAGCCTACATCACCCTCACCTTTCATCCAGTGTATGCAACACATACAGATGGGAAGCTTGCCAGATGTTAGAGCATATCCACAATGTTGCTCAGATAAAAGGATGGAGTCCCAAGGAGGAAGTACTTTGCTATAGTATTAAGTACAACTACAGTGTAAGAAATATTTAACCACTATTCCATTCATTCATTGTGCATCTTCCAGAACACAGGATAAGGTGTACAGATTTGCTATGGGTATAACCTCCTTTACTTCAGCCAGAAACTCCTGCTTCTGTCTTCTCAGCCACCCATGACAGGCATTATCCACTCTGTCAACTTATGTCAAATCCTACAATTACGTATCTTCCATTTTAGGCTACTTTAGCACCTAAATAACTTGTAATAAGCACTTTATTTCCCTCTTCAGTTTAAGACTCAGAGCAAAGACTGAGTACACGGAATGACTATTTTCCCTGACACCTCTTCACATAGAGCTCTGTTGGAACCTATTTACTGCTCTTTGGAAATGACACAGTTCAGGCCTAGAGTTTAAGGATGACTTGTGGTAAAGCTTTAACAAGTGTGTGTGCCCGAAGTTATACACTCCTCTGCCGTCTCACAACATTTATAACTTGGGTTAAATGTCAAGGTATTCTTGGTTTCTCATGTCTCTTCTGCATGAGAAAAAGGAAGCAAAGCAAGCAAAATGGCTTTAAGATTCTAACATGAGAAAACAGTATTTTCTTCCTATCTTTGTAAAAAAGACAAGTTATCATCTCTTCAAAGCCAAAATTTTGAAAAACAAAGAACTCTTCCTGAGGCAAACACCTGCCTAAAGTAGTAATTTCAAAACAACTGAAGTCTGTCGCAGTTCAAAGACAGTTTTCAGATACTTTTACTAAAGGCAAGTGTTGAGTAGCCTCACCATAGATGACACTTATCTCTGTCTGCCATCGTTTCTAATGCTTGCATGCAACCTAGTGCTG